TAGATAACAATTTGTTAGTACTCATAAACACAGAGGGAGCAGAAGCATGAAAAATGCAAACCATAAGACTGTGCAAACATGACAACAAACCCAGATGGTGGATGAGTTCCCCAGGGAAATGGGTAGACAGAGAGAAAAAGAAAAGCCTGGGGATGCGGCCCTTGGGGAGTGTCAGTAGATGGGAGAAGAGAGGGTCTTGCAAAGAATGGGAACTAGGGCCGGCCGAGTGGCGCGATGGTTAAGAACTCGCTTGGGATGCCAGAGGGCCCTGGTTCGGATCCCACATGTGAGGGCCAGTGACACTGCCCTCTACAGCTAAGATGCTGAACAACAGCTCAACCTGGAGCTGGGCTGCCATGAGTCTCCGGCGACGGCGTGGGCTGCAGTCCCTGTGGCAGTGGGTTGCCACGGGCTGCCGTGTGTGGCCAGCAGCCAGCGTGAGCGGCCAGCAGCTGCAGTGAGCGGCCGTCCAGAAGCCGGCGACTGATCTGCCTTGCCCGGGAAGAGCACAATGATGATGCCAACTTGGGCCAGTGAAGCAACGTCCTCCACAACTAGACTGAAGAACAAAACGACAGCAACTTGTCTGTTCCCCTTTCCCCAATTCCCCAGCACTGTTCCCATCCTCCCAATTCCCCAATAAAAAAATCTTTAAAAAAAAAAAGAATGGGAACTAGAGGAAGACTTGAAAGAACCAGCACATTGCAATGGGATAGATTTTTCCATGTTGATTATGATGGCTTTTTCTAGGTAGAGTAGAACTGTTTATGTTTGAAGAGAGCTTGACTACCTGCATTTGGAAAGAGGAAAAAAGTGATTTTTAAACTACTAATACAACACAGTACTGCCATCCTATTTAATGGATCTTTTTTCTTAAAGATTTTATTGGGGAATTGGGGGATGGGAACAGCGCTGGGGAATCGGGGAAGGGGAACAGAGAAGTTGCTGTCCTTTTGTTCTTCAGTCTAGTTGTGGAGGACGTCGCTTCACTGGCCCATGTTGGTATTATTGCGCTCTTCCCGGGTGAGGCAGATCGGTTGCTGGCCACTGGACAGTGGCTCATGGCGGCTCTTGGCTGCTCAGGCTGGCTGCCAGCCACTCACAGTAGCTCATGGCAGCCCACTGCAGCTTCACTGCATCCTACGCCGTCGCCAGCGACTCACGGCAGCCCAGCTCCAGGTCAAGCTGTTGTTCAGCATCTTAGCTGTAGAGGGCAGTGTCACTGGCCCTCATATGGGATCCAAACTGGGGCCCTGATGCTCAGAGCTGGCATCCCAAGCCAACTCTTAACCAATGCGCCACTCGCCCGGACCTAATGGATCTTTTTAAAGATGCTTTCCTTATTTAAAGCATTATTAGGAACTATAGAAAAGAAACCACCAAAAGATTTCTCTTACAGGCTTGTTATGAAACAGTGGAACTAGAGGAGTGCCATGGAATTCATATGGGTTGGACAGACATGTTTCTCAAGCAACCTAGAACATATCTGTTTATTTTCAAGATGATTAAAGAAAAAATATTTGGCAGCTTTCCTCAGTGCCCTATTATATTCTTTAATAATACTCACTTCCTTTTGTTTAACTAAAATATAAAAATACAGACAGAAGAAACTCTCTAACATGCCAATCAGTAAGTACTACTTGCTTACTATAAACTTGGCTTATCTTATATGACCAACAATAAAAAATGATGTGGGAGCCATAAACTGTCCTCATCTGGCAATAGTCTCTCATTATTATGAACACTGGTAGATTGAGGATGTAGTTTCTAAAAGGGACTTAAGTATTTTGGGCACAGTTCCAGGGACATTGAGTTCTACTTCACATCAACAATTTCTGCTGTGTCAAAGACATTATCCTTTAAAGATTAAAGGCCGCTTTGGAAGGGTAGGAAGATTTCAGAGTATAGGCATGAAATGAACTTGACCTTTACTCAAGATTTTTTTCCTTTTATTTTTAAAGAGCAGTATCCATTTGGAAGTATTCCCAGAGTTCCTGCCTCACTCTTTTAGGTCATAAAGGCATTTCTGCTGATAAGTGGTTTAGGATTGAGAAACTGCTGACACCTTTGTGAGAAAACTATGGGATTACATTTAAGAGACTGAGGTCTGGTTAGCACGCAGTTCTCAGCCAAGAGCCATCTATCTCCAGGCCTTCCCACTGTACTTCTTAGGGAGTTCACACACACACACACACACACAGTAGTCCTGAGTTATCTACAAGTAGTTTAGAAGCAGCCCATGGAGGAAATAAGCCTTCCAGAGGCTTGTGAGAAAGGAAGAGATGACATGTAAGTGCCTGTCCCCATATATATGCATTTCTTCAGCAGATTTAGGTTTTCTGTGTAATAAGAGCAGAGAAACCAGAAAATGCTAAGAATGAAACTAATTAATGAAGTCCCTTTATTAACTTGGTGCCTCTGTCAACAGGATAAAATTAATGTTATGGTGGGTCTTTATGGTCTACTTATAATATTCCATGGCTTCCATTCCTAAAAACATTGCCAGGCTAGACTCCTCTCTCACTGAACTTTTTATTTCTCATGCCACCTCTGTTTATCGAGGCTTAGATTATGGGGTCTTTAGCACCTTGGGTGAAATAATACGGTGGGTGGCATAGTCCCGAGAAGACCTTCATTAGGAATGTGAGACACGTTGTGTTTAATTATATTTATAATACTTTTCTTAATGCCCCCAGATGATTGAGCATATTTAATTTTTTAAAGCAAAGATCAGTTTTGTATGAGATGATTACTTGAGTATAAACACAGAGGAAAATGTAGATTTTTCCCAGTTTCAATTAAGGGAAGAATTATAACAAGAATCAGATGCTCTGAAGGCTGCCTGTGAGCTATTACTTAACCTCAGTCTCTCCCCTTTCCATAGCTATTTTTGTGTTCTGGGTAAAATGCCTCTGCCCATTTCTCTCAGAACACGTGTCAGCATTTTTCCAAAGTTGACCCTGTTTCCTCAGCAGTCACCTTATACCCCAGTGCTTTTTAGTGCCATTTTTAGTCCTTAGAAACATAAAAGATGTGAGTTAAAGCTTTAGAAGTTTTAAATTTCAACATTCTCTATCTTTTACTTGGGAAGTTTAAGATGTGCCTAGAACAAGCCTATCTCAGCTTTCCATCACAACCATATGGGAGGCCAGAAATTTTCATGTTTATGAGCAAAGCCTTTAGGATCAGGCATCTTCTGTTCTGCTACTTTCTAGCTAATATCCCTGGGCTTTAGTTTCCTCAAATATTTAATGGAAATATTAATAGTGCTTGCCTCCCAGGGTTGAGGTAAGCATTACACGAGATAATGCAAATAAAGAGCTTAGGCCAGTGCTAGGCATGAAAAAAGATCTTAATAAATGTTAGTAACATGGTGATGGTGGTGGTGATGATGATAAAGGATTTGGAGTCTCAAAAAATTGTATTACAACATTGCAATATAGCATTTTCAGTTAAGAAATCAGATCACATAATCTGTCAAGGTTATTTGAATGTGCTACTGTGGAAAGAAAATTATTTCTTTGTCACTTAATGGCTGCCATATATTTTTACTCAGTTGGAGTATGTGTGTGTCCACGTGCTTGCAAGTGGGCACATGTGAATGCAAATGCTAGTATGTCTTGTTTCCCTGCCTTGATGGTCAGGAGTTTTGCTTTAGCCATTTTAAAAAATCTAACACAGCTCTCAATGTCATGCAGTACACACAGTAGGCTTTCTACAATTATCAAATATATTTTTATTTGATAAAAACCAGAGTCTCGTGCAAAATCATATTAGTAGGCAATATTGCATCCGTATGAAGATTTACAAGATGTTTTATTTTTAAAGAAAAAGGAATTAAACTAGGAAATAAGGCCTTAGAAACTACCTAGACATGATCTCTTTTCCTAGGATTCACTCTCCCCTCAACCCTGGATTTTCATAGCACAGCTCCTGTCACACAACTGAAATGAAGTAAATGGTGGCTAATAATGAGCTGTTTCTGTGTTAGAGGTCTTGGTACCAAGCAATAGAAACCAACTCAGGCTAACAAAAGGTTTACTGAAAGGATATCAGGGCCCACAAAATTGATGGGATCCTGGAGGGCCACACTTGACAATGGGCAGAGACCAGGGGCGCTCTGGCAAGTTAGGGATAAGAACCATAAATACAGTCTTTATAGCAGAAAGCACCTGCTCAGCATGCTGCCATGGGGAAAGAGAACCAAGAGTCAACTTTCTTCTCTCCTTGCGTGACCCATTCCAGGGTCCAAGTCCTCTGAGTGTGTGATTGGCCAAGCTGAAATCACAGGCTCACTGCCTAGCTGCACCAGGAGTGGGGGTGCGGAGTGGGGGGGGGTAACGGACAAAGCATCTAGCCTATTACCTGCTGTAATGGAAGACAGTAAAAACACATCTATCTGCAGAGGAGGAGAGGCAGTTTCCCAAGAAGAAACCAAAGTACTACTAGGAAAGGGGAACGGGTGCTGGGCAACCAAAAATGGCAAATGCCCATTATACCATTTTTCTAATATTTTGATTCTTGACTTTGGATGTGGTCTGTCATCTAGCCAGTCTGTATTTAGCCTGTGTGAACTTTAAAACACAGTCTAAGGTATTCTGGTTTGTTATTCCAGCCCTCTACGTGGGCCAAAGATAGTCATCATCCTGCTTTTGTCTGAGTAGGAACATCCTTCAAAGAGATTAAATAGGAATTCAGGAGTTGAGAATAGTGTAACATTAGACACTAGGATGAGCTGCCTTTATATACTTTTTCTATATAAGTAGAATGAGTTCAAAACTATTATGTCCTATAAATTAAAAGCAGGTAACAGATACCAGGGAAGTTTTGCCAATTTTTATTGAAATTTGGGGCCTGTATAGGTAAAATACATTGACTGCATCAAAGGAGTAACAGTAGAGGATCCTGTTACTTTGAGAATTGCTCTTAGGTTGGTTGGTTTGGGGTTTTTTAGAATGCCATCCTAATTTAAGGCATTATCCTTTGTTTCTATGTTATAGGGGAGAACTTACCCATTTCGGGGTGCCTTCCCTCCAGTATGGAACCCCATTGCATATCTGGATTACAACAATCTCTGGAGGACAATGGATAACATGGGAAAGGAGGTAAAGTGTGTGTTCAGCTTGCACATGACCTGTTTCTGAAATAACATTAGCCGCTGTTTACTATCCTTCCACAGTGCAGGGAACAGTGCTCCGGACAATGCTGCATATCATTTCCAACGCACCCAACAACTCTGCCAAATGGGTAGTATTTCCATTGTACAAATGAAGAAAACAAGCACCAAGGGGTTATGTAATTTCCCCAAGACCACACATCAAGGGAATCAGGATTCAAGCTCACATCTGTCTGATACTAACACCCCTGTGTTTTCCAATCTATACCACTGAGAATTTATATGACGTGTTTTTGCCAGGTCCCCTACTTATACTTGTCTTACCCATGTGCAATGCCACTGTAGTAGTAAAGGAGAGAAAGATTTGTTTCCACCAAGTTTTTTAATTTAGTCTCAGGCTCTGTAACATCGCTCTCTCAAACTTAAATTGAGGACTTAAAATGGGTGTTTGCTTTCAGTAATAATAATAATGATCATCATCATAAAAATTATTGATTTATATCTCCATATGACATATTTATAGATATATTTATATATTGCTGCTATTATTAGTATTATTATTACAACAACATTGAGACATAGAATCCGAAGAGCTATCCATACCCAACTCACCATAATCTATACATTGACTTGTACACCAATCACACATTCCAACATGGACAGAAAGACCGGTTTTCAGAGGTTCCTCTTAGGGCATCTTGGCAGGGAAGTGGGCAGTGACCATCACACCTGGATACGGGCCCTTCTTTCTCTGCAGATTCCAGCTGATGCACCATGGGATGCCCCGCATGCTGAAGAATGGGACCGGATGACGATGAAAGATCTCATTGATAAAATCTGCTGGACAAAGTAATCTTGACTATTTAAAATTTACTTTTTATCTTCCCTTTTGATCCTTTCTATCCTATCTTGAACTGCAAAATTTTTTCTTTATAAGTTATAGAAAAAAATTTAAGAGGAAACCTAATGGTCTTTAGGTCAGTAGCAACTTTGAGAGCACTTTAAAGATTTTAGACCAGGTTTCAACATAAAATTAATCTAAAACATAAGAAGAAAGTAGGTAAATGAAGTAGAACTTTTTTAAATAAAAAGGTCTTATGATTTTCAATAAAACAAGTAATTGTGTTTTCAGATTAAATAGCGGTCAGCTACAGAAACAAGTTGAAAAGATATTAAAGTTATTCCAATACATATCAAAATATGAAACTGGAGGGACACTAGTTTATTTTAACAAAAAATATATAAACAATATGTTTTCAGAGAGAATCTGTGTTATTAGCTGAGTTACTTACAGATCATTCAGTCACTATTTTGGGGCTGCTATGTGAAGGCATTGTACTAAGCACTGCGGGGATTGTGGTGAATTTGTTAAACAAGGCCCCTACCCTCAAGGAGTCTATATTCTTCTAGCAGGAGACTGGCATTACAGAAAAAAATTACATAATGCTACGAGAGTGACTGTAACAGTGAACCTGAAATGTCAGAGAATAAAAGAGATATTCCTTGATGAAGCAATCTTTAAACAGAAACTAAAAAGATGGAGCCTCAACTAAAAATAAGCCACAGAGGATGGGAGGAGACAAGGAAGGGCAGAAGGTCTGGGGGTATGGTGTATTCCAGGAGTGCTCCATAGTAGATAAGAATACAAGAAAGATGGATAGTTTAAGAAGGCAGCATGTTCCGGGAATGAGTGACAGAGGATGAGGGAAGACAAGAAGGGTGCAGATGTTATATTTTAGGAGTGAGCCACAGTAGAAAGAGGGGTGAGGCGTGAGAGATGGATGGTGTGTGTGAATGGTATCTTCTAAGAATAAGTCAGTGCAGGCGAGGGGGGTGGAGACAAGAAGAGTGGATGATGTGAAGGGATGGTATCTTCTAGATGTGAACCTCAGTGCATGGAGGGAAACAGGAAATTTCCCTCCATGATGTGGTGGGATGGTGTATTCCAGAAGTGGATCATAGTCAATGGAGAAAGACATGAAATGTAGATAGTGTGGGGCATTGGTATCTTCCTAGGATGAGCCACAGTGGATGGGGGAAGAAAGGAAAGAAGGATGAGGAGATGGTATCTTGCAGGAATGAGCTAGTGGGTAGGGGTGGGAGACACCAGAAGACTAGATGGTGTGGAAGGCTAGTATCTTCTAGGAGTGAGCCACAGTGGATATAGGGAGCCATAAGAGATGGATGCTGTGTGGAGATGGTGTCTTCCAGGAATGCGGTATAGTGGATGGGCTGGGGGGGACAGGAAAGATGGATGGTGTGGGGGAATACTATCTTCTAGGAATAAACCACAGTCCATGAGGAGAGAGGAAGGCTACATGGTATCGTCCAGGAAAGAGCCCCCGTGGAAGGGAGGGACAAAGAGATGTTATGTGAGGAGATGGTATCTTTGAAGAATGTACTAGTGAATGGGATGGGGGATACAGGATGACTGGATGGAGTGAGGGGGATGGTATCTTCCAGGAATGAGGCATAGTAGATGGCGGTAGGGGAGATGGGAAAGACGGATGGTATGGGGAATACTGTCTTCCAGGAATAAACCACAGCCCATGGGGCGAGAAGAAGGCTAGATGCTGTAGGGGATGGTACCTTCTAGAAATGAGCCACAGTGGTTAGGGGGAAATGTAAGAGATGGAATACATATTTAAATGGTATTTGCAGCAATGAGCCACAATGGATGGGTTGAAACAGGAACAATAGATGGTGTGGGAGAATGGTATCTTCCAGTAGTGAGCCAGTTGATATGGCGACAAGGAGTAGAGGATGGATGCTGTGGAGAGATGGTAACATCCAGGAATGAATCATAGTGGATGGAAGACATAAAAGATGGATGTTGTGTAGGGATGGTATCTTCCAGGAATGAGCCACAGTGGATAGGGAGAGAGAGAAAGGTTATGTGAGGGGATGGTGTCATCCAGCCATGTGCTATATTGACTTTGGGGGGAGACAGAAAGGATAGATGATGGGTAGGGCAGATGATATCTTTTAGGATTGAGCAACGTGGTATTGCAGGAGACAGGAAAGATGGATGGTGTGTGCAGATGCATCTTCCAGGAGTGAGGCATAGTGCATGAGGGGAGACAGGAACAATGGATAGTTGGGATAATGGTATCTTCCAGAAATGAGCAAGTTGATATGGAGACAAGAGGGGAGGAAGAATGCTGTGGAGGGATGGTATCTTGCAAGAGTCAACCACAGTGGATATAGGGAGCCTAAGAGATGGATAGTATGTGGGGATGGTATCTTCCAGGAGTGTGTCACAGTAGGTTGGGGAAGACAGGAACAATGGTTGTTGTGGGAGAATGGTATCTTCCAGGAATGTGCCACAGTGAATGGGGGTAGACAGGAAAGATGGGTGGAGTGTGGGGATGGTACTTTCTATGAATGAAGCATAGTGGATGGGGGAGGGGACAGGAAAGATGGATGGTGTGGGGGAATGGTATCTTCCAGGAATGAGCTGTTGGATGGTAAGGGAAACAGGAAGATTGGATGGTGTGGGCAATGGTAATTTTTAGGAATAATCCACAGTCGGTGTGGCTAGGCGAAGGGTAGATGGTACAGGGGATGGTATCTTCCAGGAATGAGCCACAGTGCTTGGGGAGGTACAAAAAGAGTTTATGTGAGGGGATGGTATCATCCAGGAATGTTCCACAGTGACTCTTGGGGGGGGGCAGCTGACAGAAAGGATTGATGGTGTGGGGGGATGGTATGTTCCAGGAATGAGCTGCAGTGGATGCGGTGAGACAGGAACAGTGGATGGTATGTACATATGGTATCTTCCATATGAACCACAGTGAATGGCCTGAGTTACCAACAGTGGATGGTTTTGAGGAAGTTAATTTCTAGGTAGAGAGAATAGGGAACAGCTCTTATAAAGGACCTGAGATGAGAAGGTTGGCTTTTTTTTCAATGTATGGATGATACTCCTGGATCATATAGATGCCATGACAAAGTGATGTAATGGGATTTTGGAGAAGTGGTTGAGACGCAGATGATGCAAGATAAATTGGCCATATTTATTATGACCTTTGCCTTTTGCCATTAAGACCATTGAAGGGTTTTACACAGAGTGGGGTTTTTTTGGTTTTTTTTTGAGTTTTGGGCTAAAGTCTTTATTGGCTATAATGTAGAGAAACATCAAGAGGAAATATAGAATGACTAGGTAGGGGTGACCATGAGGAGCCACGATTGTTGTAACCCAGGTGACAGGCATTGGTAGCCTCGACCAGGGTGGGGCAGTGGAAGTGGAGAAGATAGGATGGTTATCCAAATAAATGGGAACAAATATCCTTAATTATCCCTGAGATTCACATTGACCCTTTAGACTGCACCAGGATTAGCATATTTGGAGCTAACCCATAATTTCCTAAATGCAAGGGGAAACTTTATTTTTTCCCAAGAGTTAAAATATGCATTCCATCAGAAATTGAGCTCATGGGTTTCTTTGAAAAGCCATAGAAATGTTTTCTAACCATACTAAATTGTGTTTTAAAAATATGATGTCCTGTGGAGCATGTATGTGTTTGCCTCTTACATCTGCTTTTGTTCTGTGACCAGCACTGCTAAGCAGTTTGCATCTCTCTTTGTGAATATCAATGTGACCTCTGAGCCCCACGAGGTGTCTGCCCTGTGGTTTTTGTGGTATGTGAAGCAGTGTGGTGGCACCACCCGGATATTCTCGGTTACCAACGGGGGCCAGGTATGGAGTGTCCATTCTCAAATACAACTTCATTTGTGGTTTTTGCCCTCACCCAAATCAGCATCTTAATAATTGCTTCCATATTTTGTAACATGAATAATTAGCCGCTTGAAATGATCTCAAAAACTTCTGAAAACAAAATTTCTCATTCCTGAAAATAAGTTCACAGCTAAAGAATGTTTCATTTTTAATTATTTCGATTTTGGAATTTCAGCTCTTTCCTTTTGGAGGTAAGTAAAATAAATCATTTATGTAGGAGGAGCTAAATTACTGAAGTAACTCATTTCCAAAAATTTCTGGTTCAGTTGCTCCCCATGCCCACCCCCATCCACAGTTTCTCTTTCAGTGGTTTCAGTTACCTGTGGTCACTCGTGGTCAGAAAAGATTAAATAGAAAATTCTAGAAATAACCAACTCATACGTTTAAATTGTGCACCGATCTGAGAAGGGAGGTGAAATCTTATACCCTCCCGCTCTGTCCTTTCTGGGACATGAATTGTCCCTTTTTCCAGTGTATCCACGCTGTAGACACTCCCTGCCCATGAGTCACTAGTAGCCATCAGTTATCAAATCAATTGTCACAGTATCACAGTGCTTGTGTTCAAGTAACCCTATTTTACTTCAAATGGCACGAACGTGATGCTGCCAATTCAGATATGCCAAAGAGAAGCCGTAAAGTGTATGTATAGAAAAAAAACATAGGGGCTGGCCGAGTGGCGCGATGGTTAAGAGCTGGCTTGGGACGCCAGAGGGCCCTGGTTCAGATCCCACATATGAGGGCCAGTGACACTGCCCTCTACA